GGGGTTGTTTCAAGGGGGTGGGAACTGAAGCTGCTGCTTGCGGGGCAACACAAACACCCCTCGACTGCGGTGAGTTTCACCGCGGCGAGTTCACCGCGGTGAACCTGTCGCGGTGAAACTCTTTGCGGTGAAACTCTTCGCGGTTAAACTCTCCGCGGTGAATCTGAACCCACACCGTCTGCCCAGGGAGTCAAGGTGGCGTCGGAGAAGCTGGAGTCCTCCTTGTTGGACGACTCCCTCAAGAGGGACGACTCCCTCAAGAGGGACGAGCCCAGCGGAGTCGCCCGCCCTCCGGGGGAGTCGTTCTTCATGCTGCCTGACGTCGCTCCATCTCCGCAGGTGCGACCTGGTCGTCGATGATGACGACGCTGCTGCTGCTGCTACTACTACTGCAGCTGCTACTGCAGCTGCTGCTGCTGCAGCTGCTGCTGCTGCTGCAGCAACAGCCACCGGCGCTATCGTCACTGCCATCATCACCAGGTATCGTCACCAGCTATCACCACCGCCTCTTATCATCACCGCCATCATCACCACCGCCACCCTTACCATTATCTCCCACCCTCACCACCACCTCCCCACGCTCTCCCCACGCTCACCACCCTCACCACCACCCTCACCACCACCCCCCTCACCACCACCCTCACCCTCACCACCTCCCTCACCACCTCCCTCACCACCACCCTCACCACCACCCTCGCCCACCCTCACCACCACCCTCACCACCACCCTCACCACCACCCCCCTCACCACCACCCCCCTCACCACCACCCTCACCCTCACCACCACCCTCACCACCACCCCCCTCACCACCACCCTCACCCTCACCACCTCCCTCACCACCTCCCTCACCACCACCCTCACCACCACCCTCGCCCACCCTCACCACCACCCTCACCACCCTCCCCACCCTCACCATTGTCTCCCACCGTCGCCCACCCTCACCACCACCCTCACCACCAAGCTCACCACCCTCACCACTCTCCCCACCACCCTCACCCACCACCATCACCACCACCCACCACCACCACCCTCACCACCCTCATCACCACCACCCCCACCACCCTCGCCACCTCCCCACGCTCTCCCACAGGTGCTCAAGGAGATGGGTGGCACTGGGCTGCTGTCTGCGCTGTCGGACCCCTCTCTGCCTTCATCTCTGCTCACCAACGCCAGCCCCCCCGTTCAAGAGCCACGCGCCAGCGGAGGCAGCACCAGCGGTCGCACCAGCAGGGGTGGTGGTACCAGCGATGGTGGTGGTGGTGATGATGATGGTGGTGGTGGTGGTGCTTCTGGAGCTGGGTCACTCGGGGCTCATGGCCGCCTGCTCGCCCGTGCCGCCCATGTAACGTAGTCGCGGCGACGGCGGCGTCTCACACCTTGTTGTTGTTGTGTGTTGTTGTGTGTGTTGTTGTGTGTTGGTGTGTTGTTGTCCTTCCTCCGACGAGCGCAGTTTGGCTTGCTGCGTTACGGCGGTGCGAAAGCCGTTCCACGCGTACACACACCAACAACTACCTACACAACAACAACTACCTACGTACACACCAACAACTACCTACACAACAACAACTACCTACACAACAACAACAACAACAACTACGTACACACCAACAACTACGTAGACACACCAACAACAACTACGTACACACCAACAACAACTACGTACACACCAACAACAACTACGTACACACCAACAACTACGTACACAACAACAACTACGTACACACCAACAACTACATACACAACAACAACTACGTACACAACAACAACAACAACTACGTACACAACAACAACTATGTACACACCAACAACTACGTCAACAACAACAACAACAACTACGTACACAACAACAACTACGTACACAACAACAACTACGTACACACCAACAACTACGTACACAACAACAACTACGTACACACCAACAACTACGTACACACACCAACAACTACGTACACAACAACAACAACAACTACGTACACAACAACAACTACGTACACAACAACAACTACGTACACAACAACTACGTACACACCAACAACTACGTCAACAACAACATCCGCCGTTCACCACTAAGTGGCAGTGACAGCGCTTGTGCCAGGCTAGGTGCACGTTGAGGCCACCACGTGAAGTGTCAAACGCCCCCCGCCGGCAGGAGGTCACGTGGCAGACCCAGCTGGTGCCACGTGTCGACTGAGATGACTGGCCGATGCACCACCTGTGCCAGGCTAGGTGCAGGAGGTCACGGGGCAGACCCAGCTGGTGCCACGGGTCGACTGACCGAGACGACTGCCCGATGCACCAGCTGTGCCTCCCACTGTGCCAGGCTAGGTGCACGCAAAAGACAAAAATCCCCCGTATAGCCTGAACAGGCTGTCGGGGCAAATGCTTGCTGCTGCTGCTGCTTAGTTGAGTTGGCTCTGCAAGCGTGCGGTGGTGGCGGTGGTGGTGGTGGTAAACGTCGCACTGTGTGTGTGTGTGGCAAGGCCGTTGTCCGTGAGCTTTTGTCGGAGGGGAAAAATGTTTAGCTGCCAGAGTGTGTCACGCCGTGTCCGTCTTTCTCGCTGTCTCTCTTGTTGTTTTTCTCGCTCTGTCTTTGTCTGTCTCTCTGTCTGTGTGTGTCTCTGTGTGTGTGTGTCTGTCTCTGTGTGTGTGTTTGTATGTCCGTCGACTCGATGGTTGCGTGATGATGATGGATGCACTGAGTCGGTTCGGATGGATTTAGAGTTCCACGGTTCAGCCACACGTGACGAATTAGCAGCAGGCAAGATTGTCCGGGTGTGTAGTGTGTGTGTTGTGTGTGTGTGGTGTGTGTGTGTGGTGTGTGTCCAGTGTGTGTGTGTGTGGTGTGTGTGTGTCCAGTGTGTGTGTGTGTGGTGTGTGTGTGTCCAGTGTGCTGTGTGTGTGGTGTGTGTGGTGTGTGTGTGTGTGTCCAGTGTGCTGTGTCATGTGTGTGGTGCGTTGTGTGTGTGTGTGGTGCGTTGTGTGTGTGTGTGGTGCGTTGTGTGTGTGTGTGGTCCGTTGTGTGTGTGTGTGTCTGTGGTGCCTTGTGTGTGTGTGGTGTGTTGTTTGTGTGTGTGTGTGGTGTGTTGTTTGTGTGTGTGTGGTGTGTTGTTTGTGTGTGTGTGGTGCGTTGTTTGTGTGTGTGTGGTGCGTTGTTTGTGTGTGTGTGGTGCGTTGTTTGTGTGTGTGTGGTGCGTTGTGTGTGGTGTGTGTGGTGCGTTGTGTGTGGTGCGTGGTGTGGTGCGTTGTGTGTGGTGCGTGGTGTGTTGTGTGGTGCGTTGTGTGTGGTGCGTGGTGTGTTGTGTGGTGCGTGGTGTGTTGTGTGGTGCGTGGTGTGTTGTGTGTTGTGTGGTGCGTTGTGTGTGTCTCTTCAATGATGTGTAATGTGTGAGTATGAATGTACCTATTGTCATTTTAACACAGACGCTTTCGCTACCAATGTCATCCGTAATTGAGGTTGTGTTTTTTTTGGGGGGGGGGGGGGGTGTGGGGTCTTAGATCGTGTAAGTATATGAATGTGTCGTTAAACCCGCCACCACCCGACACAGCCACCTAGTGAACGTGAGTGTCGTGTGAATAGCACGGGGCCGGTTCGTCACGATCACAGCACACAGCCTAGTGTAGTGTATAGTGTAGTGTATAGTGTAGTGTATAATGTTGTATACTAGTACAGCACTAGTGTGTAGTGTATAGTGTAGTATACTAGTACAACACTAGTGTATAGTGTAGTATACTAGTACAGCACTACACCGCCTGTGTTGGAGATGTAGTGCTGTACTAGTATACATTATACACTACACACTAGTGCTGTACTAGTGTAATAAAAGGACTCGAACACTTCTTTCTGTCTTCGTGTCTTTATTCAGGTTCACGTCTTTACCCACACGGCACTCTGTTATAACTCCTGTATTTGTAGCCCCCGGCTATTCACTGCTATTATAGCTTCCTCTCCCCTCTGACTCTCTGCTTCATCTATTGTAACCTCCTCCCTGCAGACTCGCTGCTACCCCTATGCAGACTCCTGCTGCTACCCCTATGTGCAGACCCTCTGGCTGTCACTGTATGCAGACCCGCTGCCCACCCTCTCTGTGCAGCCCCGCTGCTGACTGCAGCCTCCTTGCTGCTTCGGGTCGGTCACCGCTGGCCAACGGTGCCGATCCTCGCTTCCCCCGTGTTCGTGGCGATCTCGCCACACCCCGCTTCGCCCTACGTGGCCTTCCTCTGTTCCTGGCTCCCCGTCACTCCCCTTGCTCTTCCGGTTCCCCCTCCTTCTATACTCAATCCCTCTCCCCCCACGTGACCTAACTCCTCCCCCCCTGACGGCACCTCAAAGGGCCGTTTACAACCGCATTACATCACCCTCCCCCCTAAAGAAAATCCAGCCGACCTCGGCTGAATTGCAACCTGAAAAGCAATGCGGGTGTAAAGGGCCAACACGCAAAAAGACACGAAGCATTGAAGAACATTATAACAATAACACAACACAACACAATCTAACGAAACGTGAGGGATTTCGAGCGAGTACGGGTAGCCGGGCCGTCCCGGACGGTCGGCAGCCCACCCGCCGAGCGGGAACGTGGAAGGGTTTTAGGGGCGACGGGCGCAAGTTCTTCCGTCGCCATTGGAGGCCCGCCACTGTCCCGCTCGCGTCCAGAGACATCCCGTACTCGCGTCCGCGGAGGGATAGGAAGAGCTGCAGGTCCCGTGGGGTCTGCGGCTCCGGTCGGTGTCCCACAAGCGGAAGGTCCTCCTCCCTGCGCTGTCACGGCCGGCTTGTCTGTGAAGGGTACTACAGGCGCTCTCGCAAGGTCAGCAGACACAGGCAAGGGCGAGTCGGCAGCAACAGACCCCGGCAAGGCAACTTCGGGAGATGACGCATCCGGCCGTGGGGCAATGTATGGCTTCAACCGGGACGTGTGCACGAACCAACGCCGTGCACCAACCTGAACACGCGCCGACTGTGGGTTGGGAACCTCAATGAGGCGGACCGGACCCTGCCAAGGTCGATGTAATTTAGGAGATGTACCTGGCCGCACCTGTGGGCAATGAAGCCAGGCCAGGTCCCCCTTTTTCCAGGGACACTCCCCCTTTGAACGTCGGGCACACCGCTCATTCCTGGCCTGAGCCTTGGCAGTAGCCATGCGGGCATTTTCCCTCGCCTCAGCGACACGCCGAACGTTGTCCTTAATATACTCAGGAAGAGGCTTAACAGGCCCCCTCGCCCCGGTTCCCAACTGGTCATGAATCGGCGGCACGTTCTCACGGCCGTACATAAGGAAAAACGGCGAGTATCCAGTAGCCGCGTGCGGCGTCATGCGATACGCCGAAAGCACCCCAGGGATATGCAAATCCCAATCAGATTGGTTTTCCCCGACTGTATGGCACAGCATGGCGGACAGAGTCCGATTCAACCGTTCCACCATACCATCCGTTTGCGGGTGGTAGGGGGACGTCCGTATCTTTTTAGTTCCAAGAGCCGCACACACCTCCCCCAACAATTTAGACGAAAAGTTACGTCCCTGATCCGTAAGGAGCCTCTCCGGAGCCCCTTTGTCCATTACATACCCAAATAGAAAGGCGTCCGTGATAGACGCCGCTGACTGGTCAGGCAAGGGCCAGGCCATCGGCCAGCGAGAGAGGTACTCCACCCCCACCAGTAAATACTTATTCCCTTTAGCTGACGGCGGAAAGGGTCCCAAAATATCTAACGCCACCAACTCATTAACCCGAGATACTTTAATCGATTGTATCGGCGGAACATATGGATGTTTAGGCGGCTTACGGCGGGCACAATCGGGACACGCGCGAACGTGACCGACGACATCCGTCGTCATGCCGTGCCAATAATAGTCTCGTTGCAGCGTCAATAGGGTTTTCTGCACCCCCAGGTGTAAAAGTGTGTCACAGTGCAAAGATCTAATCAACTCATAGCGCAATGACGCAGGCACAACGAGACGCCAGTGTTCCTGTATCCCTTCCCTCCACATCAGTAACCCATCTCGGAGAGCAGTTTCCGAATTACCACCCGCACCGACTTCCTTACCCGCCCTCTCCGTTCGTTTCCGTAACGACACCAAAGAATCGTCCATCATTTGCTCCCGAATCCACACAGACCGTGGAAGACGCAAAATCCCGTCAGCCGGTCCCCCATCAACCGGTCCCGGTGTAAGCGGAGTTTCGAGAACATCCACTGCCAGCGCGACAGGCTGAGGGGGGGGCTGAGTCGGTCCACACCTATGCGTTCCCGACGCACACGCACAAGGGGATTGTTGCGGCAACCTGGACAGTGCGTCCGCGTTAGCGTGACGCACACCCTTCCGATGGTGAATTTGGAAGGAGAATTCTTGCAACGTGTCCAGCCATCTCGCCAATTGTCCGGATGGCTGGTCCATCTTAAGAGCGTACTGCAAGGCCGCATGGTCCGTTCGGACAATAAACGACCGACCGTACAGATACGGTCGAAATTGGCGGAGAAAAAACACAATAGCCAAAAGTTCCCTGCGAGTGACGCAGTAACGGGTTTCCGCGGGAGACAAAACCCGACTCCCATACGCCACCACACGCTCAACACCACCTTTTGACTGGGACAACACCGCCCCAATCCCGGTGTCACTCGCATCAGTATCCAGAATGAAGGGATGTTCAAAATCCGGATAATCCAACGTCGGCGCAGTAGCCAGTAGATCGCGCAGGCTCCGAAACGCCGCCTCCTCCGGCGGTCCCCACACAAATTTGTGCCCCTTCCCAGTAAGGAGATGCAAAGGCCTGGCGATAGTAGCGAAATTCGGAACAAACCTCCGGTAATATGAGGCGAACCCCAAAAAACCGACGCACATCACCCACCGTGGCGGGGGTTGCCCAATCCTGGACACACGCAGTTTTCTCTGGATCCGTGGCCACCCCGTCCGCACTAACAATGTGTCCCAAGTATCGAACGGAGCGTTGCAGTAGATGACATTTCTTAGGCTTGAA